ATATCCATAAGCTTGTTAATACAGTTCTGGAAAGCATAATATGATTTTAAAAAGTGGATGTAATTTCAAATTATATACCAAAAGTTCAGAATTCACGTTTCTGTGAAGAACAATGAATTGATCAAACATGGGGCATCGCAAAACCTATTGTTCTTTTCAGGTGGAATGACAATGCTACTCCAGATTTACTACCTTGGATTAATTATATGTGTTCACTCTGTTTATGACCTGGCTCTCTCTCAGCGTAATGGAAAGACTTACTCAATGTGGTCAAAGTTTAATACTCTGTTTAAAAACAAAGCTGCTTTTTTAACAAAAAGCTAAATTATAATATGTTTTTGTCCTTTTCTTCTTGTTTTGTATCTTGTTGGGTATATCAAGAGAAACATAAAAGGAAGTAGAATGTAGTAGGAATGGGGTACTTAAGAAGTGTATATGGTAAAACAAAAAGAGATGGAATCGAGGATGTAACTTCTGTTGAATCATCCCTTTCCATTTACTGGCTAAAAGAAATCAATGGTGAGGCAGGACATCTTTTAATTCTTTCTCAACAACACTTACTTGTGTGTGTGTGTGTGTGTGTGTGTGTGTGTGTGTATTATTTCCTTATGTTTGTTTACAACAAACTATGTGGCCTAATCACTAGATTCTAGAAGAGATTTACCTAGAATAGATTTACCAATAAAATTGTAATTTCTTGATTCCTTTTTAAACAAAAACTGGAATTGCTTTAAAATATCTATTGCACTTACTATTTTTAGACTTTCCATTTGATTACAAACTGCATAGTTTTGTTAACCGATCAAAACTTTCACATTAAACTGCCATTAGAACTCTTGCCTGATCCAGTAATTGCTTAATTTTTAATTTGCTAGTTACTCCAGAACTTCATTGACATAGCTATTCAAATATCCTCTATGAAAGAAAGTATCCATGCATCATTTCTCCCTTGTAGATAGCTCTCCTCCATATAGAGTTAAAGCTACAAAATTAAAAGACCACACAGGGATTACATGGAAACAGCATCTCCAGAGAAAATCTTTTAGACCTGAAGCATTTTTTAGACCCAAAACCATGTCATAGCATCTATTGAATTGAACTTCAAAGCGTTTTCTTCCCTTTTCTTTAGAAATCAGGTGTTTCTGCCTGAGCAAGTAATTAAAACTACAATATAACAATAAAGCAGAAGCTGTATATATAACACCTCTCCTGCAGCTGACACTAGATATCTTTAAGCAATTTTGCTTGCAGCAGCTGTAAAGAAATGCTGCTACTACTTGAAAATTTGGAAGGCTCCAACAGCTGCCAGTAACAGTACATTGGTATTCCTGTTATTTGTCATCTGTGTTGCAACAATATCAATAGCTTATATACAACACACACAACATATTTAAACAAGCAGCCACCAGAGTATATTAAAAATATTGAAACTAGCTGGAAGCTCTGTTTCTTAACATTTTAAATGCTACCAGCCTCGGTTCTGTCAATTTTTGAATATCGTCATCAAGAAAACAAAACAAAAAGTGCATACCAAGAAGCTGGATGCATACACTGTAGATATTTTGAATTCATTCAGGAAGACAACGCTTCTATTTAACTTTCCATGTCCACTGGAATTCTCAATGAGTATGTTTTACCATTGTGTTCTATGAAGCATTGTTTGTTTATTCTGTTTGCATTTTTTATATTTTACAAGCAACCTTCCTTCATCCAAGTGTCCTTTTGTCTGTCAATTTTTTTTTCAAAACATGCTTCAAAAGCCATCTCTTTGAAATGTATACTAAGCTACAATTTTCTCCAGTATAATTATTCTGATGCAGGATTCAGTGATATGCCAAATGCAATTGGTATTCACTAAGCAAAAATTCATGGTAACTAGAAAATTTTGCCAAAGATTGTCATTGACTAGTTATGTGTATGATATACATATATGAACACAAATACATAAATGTATACTAGCAGCAGCAGCAGCAGTAGTAGTACTTTATTATGGCCACTGACTAAAATTCAGCAAATTAACAGCAAATGAAACAGAATAAAGCAATATAGTTTTCAGCTACCTCATTGATACAATCAGCGTGTGTCTGGTTTTACAAACAGTATAGCAAAATTTGGCCACATTCATGGAAACTAAATCATACTAGTCTGATAATAACAGCTGCACATAAAAAAATTCAGAATTGCCTGGGTACTTGGTTAAATAAGGAGTGATGAGGTAAATTCTCGCATCCTTATAAAAAATGCTCTATTGAATCCATCAGGATATGGACTATGGATTCAATAGATCCTTCTCAATGATACAGTTTTAGCTTGTATGGGATTTTTTTGCATCTGCCCTCAAGAACTGCCTTAAGGACGACATTAAAATATGCTAAGGTTAGCACCCTCTGGAGTTTAGGGACCGTTATATAATGCAGGTATCTCCCTGGCCTAAAGAAAGGAGAAATTTATAGTAGCTGTCCATATATCCTGTAAAAGATTTCAATATTACGGATATGATCCAAAATTTGGGGGGAGGGAAATCCTTTTGTACTTGTGGGGCCAATGGGAAAAAAATGCCAGGATTTGGAGTTCAGCAAAATCTGGAGGGCCATAAGTTCCTCCCCATCTATTGTCAAGAACAAAAGCAAGACAGATGTGTATGTTTCTGTGTGCGTTGGGGATTTTCTTTCTATTTTTCCATCATGTGTACATGACTTGATAATATACCCTAGTCACATATTATGCTATGTTATGATAGCATAACATAGTGATCAAACACACAGCATATACCAGTGTACAATGGCTTATATGAAAATGAACCATGCTATCAAAGGACACGATGCCCATCCCATGTAACATAGACCTGGCCTTATTTAGTTCATTTGGTCCGACAGGATTGTTTCCTTTTTGCCCTTTCTGACTTCAGTAAAGTTTCATGTTTCATCATCAACTTTAATTTGAATCACTGTTAATGTTAGATTCCTCTTAATACAGAAAGCATCCCAAATCCAGATTTCACATCATGGTTAAGAGAGAATACTAATTTTATTTATTAATATAATCTACATATTACTTCATTCTGAGGGTTTTAATTAAAGCAGGCCAAAGCAATTTGAGTCAGACAGAGGAAGGATACAATAATACAACTGATTTTTATTCATCTATTATGCAATCTGTAGCATCTTGATTATAAACTGCCGTGGGTTTCTCTTAGCTTTAGTTCTCTCTCTCTCTCTCTCTCTCTCTCTCTCTCTCTCTCTCTCTCTCTCTCTCTCTCTC